AAAAAAAATTATTATGAGGATGTTTAGATATATAAATATAATATTTAGAACAGAGCTGGTACTTGTTAGATATTCAACAAAATGCAGTATTTTGACACTTTGGTTTAGGTATAATCAAAAGTGTTTTAGAAAAAATTCAATTTAAAGTTAAAATATAAGTGAAAAAGTTAGCCTGGCAAGGTAGTGCACACCTGTAGTCCTAGCAACTTGAGAGGCTGAGGCAGGAGGATCACAAATCAGAGCCCAGCTTGAGCAACTTAGTGAAACCCTGTCTTAAAATTAAAAAATTAAAAGGRTGGGGGATGTTGCTCAGTGGTGAAGCACTCCTGGATTTAATTCCTGATAACAGAAGAAAAAAAAAAGATAAAGTTCCTGCTCTCAGACACTTGGCAAATCAGATACTTGGCAAATTACTTCATCTCTCTGAGTCTCACAGTGTTCAATCTCTGAAAGTCACAGTGTAGTTTTAAGAATGTATTTTTCTTGCGGGGGGGCGGGTACCAGGATTTAACCCAGGGGTGCATTACCATTGAGTTACATCCCCAGCCCTTTTTTTATTTTGAGACAGGGTCTCACTAAATTGCTTAGGGCCTTGCTCAGTCACTGAGGCTGACTTTGAACTTGTGATCCTCCTATCTTGTGCCTTTCAAGTTGCTGGGATCACCGGGGCACACCACCACACCCAGATGAAAATATATATTTAAGAACTCTGTTAACCATGTTATTACCCTAGCCAGAAATAACTTTCTTCCCTTAAATAAACCAAAATCTTAGCCTGCATAGCCCAGCTCAAGTGTTGTATCCTCCAAGAATCCTTTCTAAAATCATCTCTAAACTGTAAATAATAGGGTATCTTTATGCTCAACATTGCTAAAAACAATGAGGAAGGTCTAAATGTGCTGAGATGGAAAGATCTTGGAAATACTAAGTGAAAATAAACCATGGCACACACATTACAATTCGATTTTTATGTTTGGGGAAAATAAGTGTTTTATGTTTAGGAAAAGAGGAGACCATGCCATTCTCTAAAAACTCTTCAATAGTTTGCTATCGCTGACCAAGTCCAAGCTCCTGACCTGACATTCAATCAAGCTTCTTCACTATTTGGTCCTGCCAGCCTTTCTGGTCACATCTCCCATCCTATGAGCCCTGGTTCCTGCTATAACTAAAGTGCCCTCAGGATGTCTTCCTCTAGGTCGATGGTTCAGACTTCAGCTTGCAGCAGAATCACCTAGGAGGTCTGTTACAATATAGACTGCTGGCTAAACTCACAGAATTTCTGACTCAGGTCTGGGGTGGGACCTAAACTTTTCTCTTTCTAGTAAGATCCTAGGTGATATTGATGCCACTATTTCAGGGACCACAGATTSACAACGACTGCCTTCACCATGATCAAGATTCAACTCCCTCACCTATATAGAGGCTGAGCAACTATGCTAGTTTGCCTGGGACTGTGCCAGTTTGAGCACCAAAATTCCCATGCTGCCCAAACCCCTCAGTTCTGGGAAAACAGGGAGAGCTGATACCCTGCCTAAGAATTTCTCTCAGGATATTTACTGCTAATGCCAAATATCCTTCTCTAGGGCCAGGTCAACAGGGACTGCAGAGGAAGGAGTTCTATCATCTTCCCTTTTGGATCGAGTAAGAGAATTTAACAAAGTTTTCCAAACTCAAGACTCTTTCAAACATATTTTCTTTATTTCTTCCAGCAAACAGGCTTTAGTTCTCTGTGCCTTGTAAACAATTAACACAACTGGTGAGAGAATAAAATATAAGCATCCAGATCTTTGCCCTGTGTTGTGGGCTAAATTTACACAAAGAAAAGCTGGGGCAAAGGCAGTGAGCACAAGTGAGCTTCTCACTCAGTTCAAGTAGGTCTTGGGATGATTGTTCCACATGGGCCAGTACAGTTAACTTGCTGTGAYTTCCAAGCGGTGCCCAAGACATTAAGGAGCCAAAGACCTTGGGAAATATGGGTAATGTTTCTGTTCTTTGTTGATCAGGGTCAACCCTTTTCACTAACTGGGAAAGGGGTCAGAGGTCAGAAAGCTGATAGCGTCGCACAAGACCATCTCGACAGCACGTATAGATCTGCTTCTCCCACGTGGCTACCTGGAACATAAGAATTCACAGCTCAAAGGAAGTCTAGAATTTTTATTTCAAAATGGTGGAAGTTTGTTATTAGCCCATATTAATCCAAAGGAGTCTGAGAAACTTTAGTAACTCTGAAGGCAAGAGAAGATTACATCCATAATACAAATTTACAAAATCTTTGTCCAAGGTCAGGGAACACTAAGACTACAGAACAGAGACACTAATCAGTCTAAGTGAAATGCAAACCTCTTAGTGTTGTGTATGATTTCATGCAGAGGGTCTGCATCTGGGGAACAGATGGTCCACAGATTGGCTTGGGTATCCTTGAACCTCATAARATTATATGTGAAAAAGTTCCAAATATGTGCCTTTTTTCTGAGGAGGAGTTCATTAACTTCTCAAAGAAAGGGAAGAAATACTAACATCAGGGAAATAGCATGCATTCTGAAATTAACTTAATCTAGGGCCTGCTACCATATAACTGCATGACTTAGGGCAATTTTCTCAATCATTTTGAGAAATCCTTGGCCCCAGTTTCCTCTTTTGTAAAATGGAAATGTTATGCCAGTTCACAATATAGATCACTTTTAGGAATTTTAAAAAGTAAAATGGACCTATATGCATTTACCTGGGAAAAGCTCCAAGATGTTAAGTAAAAAATAAATAAGTCATAGGGAAACATCTATGGAATAATCCCAGTTATATATGCAAACTAAAGATTAAAACTATATTTATATAAGGGCATAAATACATGGATACAAATATATAATAGTCTTAAAAGATATATGCAAAACTATAAGTGTTAGTTATTGCTACAAAGACTGGAACTATATAAGTTTTAGAGCCAACTTTTCAGTCTGTTATAACTTTTTATAGGTATGTATTAATTGTACAACTTTTTGAAAACAAGAAAAAATCGGAATAATAATACCCATATCTCAAGGAAAAGTAATAAAGATTAGATGAGATAATATTTATAAAAACATCCAATATAATTGTCTGGTCAATAAATATGACTTCATCTTTCATTTTTCTCTTTCCACTCTAATCAAATGAGATAATCAGTCTTTACCTTTAAATAAAATTATTGCTAAAACTTAAAGAATATATTTATAGTTAGGTGTGGTGTACACACCTGTAATCCCAGCTACTTGGGAAACTGAGGCAGGAGGATAGCAATTTCAAGTCCAGCCTCAGCAACTGAGATTCTGTCTCAAAATAAAATTTAAAAAGGGCTGGGGATGTAGTTCATTAGTAGAGCACCCCTGGGTTTGGTACTCAAAAAAAAAAAAAAAAAAAAACTTTCACATGCATTATCTCATTACTATCCTCATTTACAGATAGAAAGTAATTTTTCAAGTTTCTACAGTCAGTAAGTGATGAAGTCAGCCGGTTTTGACTCAATACCTGGAATTCTTTCTGCCCACCACACTGCTTATACAATAAGTTGTATTTTATAATAACTTCCATAATAAGCAGTATTTTAGCACCCTAATGACCACAGATAGCCTGATTTAGTCCTTTCAAAGCCCTAGATCCCAGGAGAGAATCACTCAGACCTGGTGTCCTTTTATGCCTGTATACCTTGTACACGGGGTCACAGTCAGCTTCAGTGAGTTCAATGACATAGTCTAGGTCTTGCTGAATAATGAAACAGCTTCCGTCACCTAAAAGGCAGAAAGGTAATTTAGACAACTAAAGAGATGCTGCATACCATAAACTAATATACTCCATATTTTGACTTTTTTATACAAATATATAATAGACTATTATATAGATTAGTAGCCTGAAAAAGATGGTCCTAAGATGCAAAAAGCAAGTAAGTCTTACTATGTGGGCTAACTACAATGATCTACAGTGGCTGCCTAGAATGCTTGGCTGGGGAGGATTTGAAGGTCAATTGTAGAGTCAGTGGAAGAAGGACCATATTTGACTTTTAGAACCTGCCAAATGCACAGAGCAAGCAACTGTAGGCTTATACATTTATTTACAAACTTATCCTTAACAACRATTTTTTTTGAATTCTTAATATTTATTTTTTTTTTAGTTTTCAGTGGACACAACATCTTTGTTTGTATGTGGTGTTGAGGATTCAACCCGGGCTGCACGCATGCCAGGCGAGTGAGCTACTGCTTGAGCCACATCCCCAGTCCAACAATGATTTTTAATAAGAACTGTCTAYACAAAAGTTTCCTTTAAGAAAAATTTTTATATCCCCAAATTATTCCCGAAATTATAAATTTGGGCTGGGCACAGTGGTGCACGCCTATAAACCCAGCAGGCTGAGAGACTGAGGCAAGAGGATCGAAAGTTCAAAGTCAGCCTCAGCAACTTAGCGAGGCTCTAAGCAACTTAATGAGACCCTGTCTCTAAATAAAATATTAAAAAGAGCTGGGGATATGGCTCAGTGGTTAAGCACCCCTGGGTTCAATCATTGGTACCAAAAAAAAAAAAAAATTGGGAATTTGGCTACATACCCTAGGACAGGAGGAAAATAAAAGTATATCTAATCTTAATTGGGATGGAGATCAGTATAAAGTGTTTACCTATCAGGTATAAAGCCCTGAGTCTAATCCMCAGTCCCACAGAGGGAAAAATTAAGTACATCTAATCTTTTTTTTTTCCCCACTATATCTAATTTTAAATTTAATTTTCTTGAAACTTGAGATAATCTGTAAACTACTTAAAAAGATGATCTTTGCTGCTTTATTTAATATAAAAGTGGTACATGCTCAATGAAGAGAATATTAAAAATAAATAAAACATGGGAAATAAATCACCCATAATCTACCAAAGATAATTAATATTAAAATTTTGACCATTCTTCTAATCTTAATAAAAAATTTATTTTACATGGTTAAAAGCATGCATAAAGGAATATCTTTGGTCCCGGACTCCACAAGCCTTCCATCTCTCGCAGCTTGCTTCTCAGCCTAGCCCAGCCTCACCATGGTGGACGCCTTCGTGGGCACCTGGAAACTAGTGGATAGCAAGAATTTCGATGATTACATGAAGTCACTTGGTGTGGGCTTTGCTACCAGGCAAGTGGCCAGCATGACCAAGCCCACTACAATCATTGAAAAGAATGGGGACACCATCATCTTAAAAMCACAGAGCACCTTCAAGAACATGGAGATCGGTTTTTAACTGGGGGTGGAGTTTGATGAGACTACAGCAGATGACAGGAAGGTCAAGTCCACTGTGACGCTGGATGGAGGAAAACTTGTCCACGTGCAGAAGTGGGATGGGCAAGAGACTACACTTGTGCGGGAGCTAAATGATGGGAAACTCATCTTGACACTCACCCATGGCAGTGTCGTGTGCACTTGCACTTATGAGAAAGAGGCATGACCCACCAGCAGTGTCACTGACTATTCCTCTGCCAACTGGCCACCCCTGGACTCAGCACCACATTACCTCATTTTTTTTCCTCTGGCATTTTGTATAAACCTACTTTGGGGAATTCTTCTGGGTCAGGTGACACCAGCCTGGATCCCCAGTTTCCATTGTGTATGTGTGTGTGTTTCTTTTCTTTTTTTTAAAAACTGTATCCAAATATTCTCTGAAGTCAATAAAGCAGAGCAGAGGCCGTGTAGTTGCCTCTGGTGGAAAAAAAAAAAAAAGAATATCTTTGTACAGGAACTGGGTGTGGTGRCACATGCCTATAATCACACCTATTCAGGCGGCTGAAGAAGGAAGACTGCAAGTTCAAAATCAGCCTCAGCAACTTAATAAGACCCTGTCTCAAAACAAAATTAGAAAAGGGGCTAGGAATATAGCTCAGTGGTAGAGTACCCTCAGGTTCAATTCCTAGTACCAGGAAAAAAAAAGAGAGAGAGAGAGAGAGGTCTCCTCACTAATCACTAAAGATTCCAAAGAGCTCAAAGATTATAATATGCCCAACTTCTAAACAAGTACAGAATTCCCCTGCAGAGTAGCCACCAGCTATGCTGCTAGGGTGCTCAATGGCAGCTTCCTTCTCAAGGAACATAAAGTGTTTCCTTATTATAACTGAGATGTGACGTCTGATAACTTTCTCCCATTGGTTTTAGTTTTATCCTCTGAAAACAGATAGTTATACTTTTACTCTCTTTGCCTTCAGCTGTTAGTGACAGAAGTCATGCTTTGCTTTCTTCCCAGCAGAAAACAGCTACAAAAGTAGAAAATCCAGGAGTTAGCTCTTCTCCACCTGCTACCCCTCCTCTAACCCACCCACTGCCTGCAACATATATGTTCATATTCAATGAAAAAATGGCCTAAGGGTAAGGCAGGGAGGGAAGAATTATCAAGGCCCTCCTGGGTGGCCAATCTGCAGGTTGTCAGGGATATTAAGCTCTTGCTTCAGAGATGCCTCTGAGACAAGATAAGCTGCTCATGTGCCATAATATGACCCTGGTTTGAAGTCCACATTCCTTTTGTCTCAAAAATCTCACTTTAAGCTATAGTGGGAAACTAACCATGATCTCATCATCTTCTCACCATTATTACACCATTCAGCAAGGAAAAATGACATCTACTATTGAGTTCACAATCACAGATTCACGTGTCTGCCACACTAACTGTGAATTCCTTTAGGGAAGAGAACATAATTGATTGATAACTGAATCCTCAGTGTTTTGCAACTTAGGACCACACATTTGCTTTACCAATGTTTACTGAGTTCCCACTATTTAGTGAGCATTAAACTAACTGATGGGGATAATAAAATGATGAATAAGGCACTGTTACTATTGCAAGAAGCCTGGACTAGGGGGAAACACAGACAATTACAAAGCAGAGTGATAAAAACTATGTCATAAGCACAATATGCCAAAGAATCATGGAGGACCATGCCCCAACTCGGACATAGATGAGCCACTTACAACTATGTTTAATTAATTGAACAAGATGAAACAAGCTCTCTTCATTGGCTACTGGACCTACCTTGGCTAGCAATGAATCCATCTCTGAAACTCAGTAGGGATAGAACTGGTGCTCCTGATCTGTGGATGACTTGTATCGGAACCCTAGAATTTAAAGTAAAAGGAGAAATTTTACTTTCACTCTTTTTCTTTGAAAGCACTGCTTGACTATATTCAACATATAGTACTAACCACATAAAAGGAAACAGGACAAATGATCTCTTTATATGATCTCTTTCCTGGCAAGATCCTTAACTGGAAGATTGAAGTAACTCAAATTCACCTTGAAGTAAATCTAAATGTGTCTCTAAACATGAAATAAGTCACCAACAACATCTCAGGTTTTATTTTTATTGGTACTAGTGATTGAACTCACGGATGCTCTACCACTGAGCTACATCCCCAGCTTTTTGTTTTCTTTTCTTTTTTGAGATAGGTCCTTGCTAAGTTGCTTAGGGCCTTGCTAAGTTGCTGAGGCTGGCCTCCAACTTGCAATCCTTCTGCCTCTAACTTCCAAATTGCTGAGATTATAGGTGTGAGCCATCATGCTGGGCAACATGTCAAGTTTTTAAGAGAGAACTGATATGGATTGAAAATAACAATGTTAACAATGTGTTAATCTTTTTATTTAAAGATAGAATTAGAACTATTTGTAAAATATTAAAATTGTCAGGACACTGAAATGAAAGATAAAAATGGTGGCTACAGAAGCCATTCAATAAATATTAGTTGAACAAAAGAAGGAAACAAAAGAAAGAAGGGCCAGAATAATAGATTGTTAGGTCCTGCAACAGAGAGCTTACATGATTCTCTTTAGATATCTTTAAGCCCAGGATAAGGCTGGTCTTAGGTCATGATAAAACTAAACAAAACACAGAACCAGCTTTACTTGAATTAAAAATTAGCATTCAATCTTAGGCCAGTCCGGGTCTAACTGCTTAGAGAAAATTATTGAGTTCCTTAAAGTTAAAGGTTCTAAGGCAGTAGCACACACCTATAATTGCAGTGGCTCTGGAGGCTGAGGCAGGAGGATCGCAAATTCAAAGCCAGCCTCAGCAACTTAGCAGGGCCCTAAGCAATTCAGTGAGACCTTGTCTTCAAATAAAATATAAAAAAGGGATAGGGATGTGGCTCAGTGCCGCTGAGTTCAATCCCTGGTATCAAAAAAAAAGTTCTAGAAAATCATTTTTTTAATTAATTAGTTTATTTCTTCTAATTTTTTATACATGACAGCAGAATGCATTTCAATTCATAGTACACATATGGAGCACAGTTTTTCATTTCTCTGGTTGTACACAAAGTACAGTCACACCATTCATGTCTTCATACATGTAGGGTAATGATGTCCATCTCATTCCACCATCTTTCTTACCCCCATGCCTCCTCCCTTTCCCTTCCTCCTTCCCCTTTGACCTACCAAAGTTCCTCCATAGAAAATCATTTTAAATGAAATGTTAGTTCTTATTTAAGCTTAATTTTCAAAGCAAATATTACAGTTGGATAATCATGACAGTAGGAATCGAATTAATCTTTTACTTTGATTCCAGGAATAATAAAAACAATCAGATAATTCACACCAGAAGAACTTTAATGATGGAAAAATAAACTTTTTTTTTCTTTGGTATTGGGGATTGAACTCAGGGGCATTCAACCACTGAGCTACCTCCCCAGCCCTAGTTTATATTTTATTTAGAGACAGAGTCTCACTGAGTTGCTTAGCAGCTCCCTTTTGCTGAGGCTGGCTCTGAACTCATGATCCTCCTGCCTCAGCCTCCAGAGCTGCTGGAATTACAGGCATGCACCACCAAGCCCAGCTGGAAAACTATACTCTTTTTTTTTTTTTTTTAAAGAGAGAGGGGGAGAGGGGGAGAGAGAGAGAGAGAGAGAGAGAGAGAGAGAGAGAGAATATTTTAATACTTCATTTTTTTTTTTTTAGTTATCGGCGGACATAACATCATTGTTTGTATGTGGTGCTGAGGATCGAACCCGGGCCGCACGCATGCCAGGCGAGCGCGCTACCGCTGAGCCACATCCCCAGCCCAAAAACTATACTCTTAATTCAACAGTCATTATATGTTAGGATAAACCAATGTTAAAGCCAATAAAAAATTCCACTCTGTAGAAGATCTACATCATAAAGGGAAGGATGACTCACGTTGGACTTCTCACGTCTAGCTGATAAATGTTTCCATCTTGTGTCCCAGCCAATAGCAAGAAGCCAGAGAGAAAAGTACAGCAGTTGAAGGCATCTGAGCCAATAAAGAGGAACACCTGGAAATATACAGGAGACACAAATGTTGTTTGAAGATTAATTTGTTTCTAGGAATAAACAGACACCAAAAAGGGGGGAAATTTCTTATTTTTTAGAGATATCTTCTTTCTTCCCTCTTTAAGTAGACTTGAATGGGAAACAAAGCATTCACCAGTAGCTGAAGAAAGAAGCTGTCCCAGGGTTTCAGAACCTGAGGTTGGCTGAGGACTTGAGTAGTATATATAACACCATACTTTGAAATAACAGTTCTCAAACTATTAACCAACACTCTGACTTACTTTCACTACAAAAATTTCYACCCCTTTCCATTACAACTCTCTATTTGAGAAACATTTATAATTCCCACATTTAAATTTTTGCTTCATATCACTTCCAGCAACCTTTTGAAGGGGTACTTTGTAGAAAAAAAAAAACAAGCTTAATTAGCTGTTCAGGAGGCTGAGGCAGGACAGTCCCAGGTTCAAGGCCAGCCTGAGTAACTTATTGAGACCCTTTCTTAAGAGTGCTTGCCTAGCATGTGCAAACTCCTGGGGTTCAATCCCCAGCACCAAAAAAAAAAAAAAAAAAAAAAAGAAGAAGAAGAAGAAAGAAACTTAAATAAAGTGACAACTTAATGAATCACAATTCTTCTCATGCATCTAAAAAAATTATATTTTTTACTTATCCCAAAAATAAACAAAAAAACACTGATGTTCCTCTAGAAATAAAAGGTAACAAAAATGGTGATGCTCTTGGGACAAACTTTGAAAATGAAAACATCACTAGCAGAATGGAGTAACAATAGGAATGAAAATACAAAGATTTTGGCCAAATCAAATCAGTCAAATTGTTCTGAATGATGATGACAGGAACTAGAAGGAAATTTTAAAAATCTATCTAATCTTAGGGAAGACTGGGTTTAGCGAAGAGTACAATTTGCCCAACAAAACCTCACAGGATGAAAGAAGAAAAATCACCTAATTCTTTCAAATATTTTYTGATCATTAGTTGATCAAGAATCCTGAATGTATGAGCCCTTTAATAAGAATTTCTTTATGTTATCTTAAAAACAGAAGGACCCATAAATAGGATCTATCCAACCTCATCATTTTACATACAACATGGTAAGGCTCAGAGAGGAAAAGTAACTATAACAAGGTCATAAAGCATAAAGCATTTCATCCTGATCACATAACCCTATGAGGTAAATCCTA